ATCTCTTTCCTCTGACACAATGTCCCAGAATTGCACAACAACCATGGTGAGGGTTTGTCATTTTCCTGTTTTGGATCTGATCAGCAGGTAAAGCATGCATTCTGTGACACTGTTGGCTTTCTCATCTGTCACAGGAGCTGCAGATGAGGTGTCAGCACTTAGCTGCTGGTGAGCTACTGCCTGATGAGCAATGGGGAAAATTGGTTCTACTTGGCACAATTCTCTTTGGGGTGTACAGTGTTCAGAGATACAGAAAACCATGAGTATAGTCATCCATTTCTCAGAATGACTTAAACATCTTTGATAATTATTCTGTTCTTGCATAATCATGACATGGCTAATCATGATTCCTGATTAAATAGCAAGCTGGGTTCCTGATTCTCGTTAAAATGTAGAGGCCACCTTCATTCACTGCTGGTGGAAATGTGAAAGGGTGCAGCCACTGTGGAAAAGAGTCTGGCAGTCCCTCAAAAAGTTAAACACAGAGTTACCATGGGACCCAGAAATTCCACTCCTAGGCATATACCCAAGAGAACTGAAAACATTTGTTTGCACAATAATGTGTGCATGAATGTCCACAGCAGCATGAGTCACAGTAGCCAAAAGGTAGAAACAACCCAAATGTCCATTGATGGATTAGTAAATAAAACATAGTCTGTCCGTACAATGGAATATGATTCAGCTATGAAAAGAAATTAAGCACTGACACACACTACCATGTGGATGAACCTCAGAAACATGTGAAATGAAAGAAACCAACACAAAAGGCCACCTATTGTATGATTTCATTTACATAAAGTGTCCAGAATATGCAAATCGATAGAAAGATTAGTAGTTGCCAGAGTTTTGGGGGGGAGGAGGAATGGGAAGTGACTGCTTATAGGTTTGGGGTTTCTTTTGTGGGTCATTAAAATGTTCTGGAATTAGGGGCCGGCCGAGTGGCTCGTTGGTTAAGAGTTGGCTTGGGAGTGTGAGCTCTGAGCAGCAGGGCCACTGGTTCGGATCCCACGTGGGCCAGTGTCACCACACCCTCTACAGCTAAGATGGTGAACAACAGCTCGACCTGGAGCTGGGCTGCCCTGAGTTGCCAGCGATGGTATAGGCTGCAGTGAGGCTGCAGTGGGCTGCTATAGTCTATGAGTGGCCGGCAGCCAGCATGAGCTGCCAAGAGCCGCCGTGAGCGGCCATCCAATGGCCAGTGACCAATCTGCCTCAGCCCAGAAGAGTGCAATGATCACAATACCAACATGGGCCAGCAAAGCGATGTCCTCCACAACTAGACTGAAGAACAAAAGGACAGCAACTTGTCTGTTCCGCTTCCCTGATTCCCCAACATTGTTCCCTCCGCCAATTCCCCAATAAAATCTTAAAAAAAAATGTTCTGGAATTAGATAGTGGTGAGGCTCACAGGCTTCCTTTCCCAGCACCCGAGTCAACTGGCTGGGTCGAACTAACAAGAGACTCTGGTGGGAGCCTGGAGGATGGCAGAAGGGAGAAGCCATGCTGCTTTTTACCTTCTCTCTCCTGCAGTGGCTGTATTTGCCTGCAGCTCCAGCTCCCACCCAGTGGCCGCAGCTTTCTGGGCTCTGGGAACCGCCTCTTTTTTGTCCTGTCTGTCTTGGGAGTGGTAGCATCCTCTTCTTATTGCTCATCTCTATCTCCTGGTTGGCTTCTCAGAACTTCCATCACCTGTAGAGCCAATCTCTGTATTAGTTTCCCTCTGAAACATCTAGAGAGGCTTCTCTTTCTTGCCTGGACCCTTCTAAGGGTTCTGCCAACTTACATTCCTTCCAGTAGTAGGTGAAATGGCCAGTTTCCTCCAAACCTCTATACTGTGTATTATTATCATATGAAGAATGGGGACTTATTGCTATTGGGTATGAGTTTTCTTTCTGGAGTGATAGTAACCTTGTGGTATTAGGTAGTAGTGAGGGTTGCACATCATGTTAAGTGTACTTAATGCCACTGAACTGTGCACTTCAAGTGGTTAAAATGGTCAATTGTATGTTATGTGACGTTTACTACAATGAAAAAAAAAGTTTTTTTAAAGGAAGAGTCTCATATGTAGAAATTTTATTTTATTTTATTATTTTTTTAGAAATTTTATTGGGGAACAGTGTGTTTCTCCAGGACCCATCAGCTCCAAGTCAAGTCGTTGTTTTAATCTAGTTGTGGAGGGCGCAGCTCCTTGGTCCATGTGGGGATCAAACTGGCAACCTTGGTGTTATGAGCCTGCGCTAATCACCTGAGCTAACCAGCCACCCCACAAAAAAATTTTTAGTGAAACTAAAAAAAGAATAATGAGTCATAGAAGTTGAGCACTGCAGAGGACTTAACACATAATTCAATCCAAACCTTTCATTGTTAATGTGTCTGACCCAAGTTCCAGGGACGATTAAGTGGCTTCCTGAATCACAGAGCTAGCTAGTTTCAAAGCCAAGGCTAGAACCTGGGGGCTCTGATCCCCAGGCCAGCTTTTTTCTTGTTTCATCAGTCATGACTGTGTGTGAACCATTTTTTCTCTGACTGGCAGGAGAGTGCTTGGTGACTGGGAAGGAAGGGGTCAGTCACTGAAGAATAGATAAGATGAGAAAAAGGCTCATATAGGAACAAATCAAGGAGGCTGAAGATCTCTCTGGGTACTAAACTGTTCTGGCAGGATGAATTGCTTTCGGTATTTCCAATTATGTATTAATAAAGATGACTCTGGTTGTAAGAGCCAAAAACCTTAATCAAGCAAAAAGCAAACAAAACCAAAACACAAAACTAAACGAACAAACGTTTGCTAATTTTTGTGGTCGGGGGATTATATGCCAGGAAAGCTGATACAGTTGAAGAAATACTGCAAGAACTATGGTCTCAAGGTAGAAACAGAACTCAATGGACCAGAGCTGTCTATTTCTATTCCCATCCCCCTCAATTTTTCTTGATTCTGTTTCTCTTTGCAATTGGCCTTGTTCTGTCTTCCTACAGGTAGCCTTTTTCTGGCAGCAGGGACTATGGCACTGGCTGCCACCCCAAGAGAAAGACGATTCTTCTTTCTCTAAAGTCCATATAGCAACCCCAGAGAAGGATCTGATTGGCTCTGCTAGGGCCATATGCCCATCCATTTATTCAAAGGGGCATGTTCTGTAACTTGGTTTGAATTAAAGACAACACACTTGTGGGGAGGACAATGGAGCATGCTAGATGTGACAAAATAAACCAAAGTCCACTACAAGTCATAAATCACTGGTTATTTTATTGGATTGGAGGATTGTTTTGAAATGTGAACAGTAAAGGAGACTAGCATTAAGATTTCATTGTAAGGGAGGGCAACCATATGTCTATAATAGTCTCTTGGAGACAAACTGGTTCATCAAATGGATTTTTTGACTTGTGTCTTATGCCACTTTTTTTCTCTATGAGGTCAAAGAACTAGTTTGTATATTCACTGCTGTATCTCTAGGACTTAACACAATGTCTGGCACATAGTAGGTACTCAAAGACATTGGGTCGTCGGGAAAGTCATGACGTATTTTTCTGTGTTTTCAATGCAAAAATGCGTCATGACTTTTCCGACAACCCAATAGTAGGAGCTCGGCACATATTTATTCAATAAATGAGCAAATGTCTTGAAAGCTTTACCAATTTAGAGTAAAACTGTTATTTAGGATTTTCTAAAAATTACTTTTCTCTTTATAGTCAGTAAAGTGTTTCTATTTAGGATTTTAAGGTTGACTAGAAGTTTATTCCACAAATATCTTTTGCCAAACTTTATGTTATACTATACCCACTATGCAAAAAGATCATGAGAGAGCTGTGAAATTATAAATTTTCAAATTATAAGTATGCTACTTCAAAGGGGGGGAGGAATAAACTGAGGCAACGAAAGAATTAAATTTCCTGCAAAAAGCCAGTTTCCCCGGGCAGCTGGTTAGCTCAGGTGGTTAGAGCACAGGCTCATAACACCAAGGTTGCCAGTTCGATCCCCACATGGGCCAAGGAGCTGCGTCCTCCACAACTAGATTGAAGACAACTACTTGACTTGGAGCTGATGGGTCCTGGACGAACGCACTGTTCCCCAATAAAATTTCAACAAAAAAGGCAGTTACATAAGAATTGTATGTGGTAAAATATACCGAGTTGTATGTCTAAAATATATGTAATTGTATGTCTAAAATGTACAGAGTTCTCACGATATGGAGGTTAGGTCTTTTATTCCAAGCTATCAATGGCTTCTTTTCTGGCACAGTTACTTTGTATGTATCTGCCTCCTTTTCTGTTTTTGTGAACTAAAACCATCTATTCATTCATTATTCATTAAACAAATAGTAACTGAAACTACAAAAACGAGGCACTAGACACAGTGTGTGCGTGTGTAGTCAAAAGTTAAATAGCACATGTTTTTTTCACGGGTCATATAGTCTAGTACAGAAGGTTAATCATTATTAATATAATTCAGGTTATAGAGAAGTGTCTTGGTAGAGGTACAAATGAATGAAAAGGCAATTGTAAACGGATTGAAAATCTTGTCTGGGGATTGCTTAAGGAGAGCTATGAATGCCAAGGTACGGATTTTGTAGTTTATTAGGAAGGAAGCAGAGACTCACCACAGGGAAGTATTATCTTCTATTTCACGTAAAGATACAAGGCCACTTGCAGCCTGACCTGGCTGTCTGCAAACTGCATTTGTGAATTTGAGAAAAAATGTTTATTCCTGTCTTAAAAGATGTAAATGAAAATCCCAAGCTTTGAGTTGAAATATCAACATAATGAATCAAATACAAAATTTAAAGGTGCAAATTTCGTTGCTTTTAAACGCAATCTTTTTAAAATTCAATTTTAATTGTTTTCAAATTAAATGAACAAACGGTAGCCCCCTCGGCGGTTCAGCCCCGGCCCCCAAGCTTCAACTCACACTCTTACTTAATGCTGCTCGGGAACCTGCTCTCCTTCTGCAAGCGTTTCTGTAGGGACTCAGTTTTTATGTGCACCGCCTTTGTCCCCACCCTCTACAGCTCTTCTGGACATTCTTATTGGCTATAGCCCTCCGATGTGCTCTAATCTGGCTGCTCTGATTGGCCGACGTCATGCCGCCAGCGCGAAGAAGCCCAGTTTCCTGAGATTTTGTTTCCTGCGGGCGGAGATGTAGGGTGGGTTGCGGCGTGCTGTGCGCTGGAACGTGGGCGCTAGGAGTGCGGGCGCTAGCAGCGCCTGAGCGCTTGGATTTAGTCCCGGGGGCACCATGGCCAGCGTCCACGAAAGCCTCTACTTCAACCCCATGATGACCAATGGGGTGGTGCACGCCAACGTGTTCGGCATCAAGGACTGGGTGACGCCTTATAAGATCGCGGTGCTGGTGCTGCTGAACGAGATGGGTCGTACTGGCGAGGCTGCCGTCAGCCTGATGGAGCGGCGGAGGCTCAACCAGCTGCTCCTGCCACTCCTGCAGGTGAGGGGCCCTTGCCAGCTCCCGCTCTTTCAGCAAACCTTTACTGAGTACCTGCTCTGTGCCAGACACCTACCCACGGGTGGTTGGGGGGGGGGGCGGCGCATCAGATAATTCTCTCAGCCCTGGAGGGCCTCAAAAAAGATTAAAAGTTAATATACCACCAGCTAACAAGGAGTGCTTAAGATGGGCCAGGAGCTTTACATACTTTTTTTTGCAGGCTCGTATCTGGCTCTCGCCTTTATGAGCTGAGTGACTGGTGGAAGAGTTGTTTTCTCAGATGCTCCGTCTTCTGTAAAGTAGGGCTCCACGTAGTCCTTCCTGAGCATTGGAGAGAGATGAAACAAACAGGCTCCGTATTTTAGAGGACCTTAATCAGTAGTAATAACGATATAAAGCTAACAGTGAACATCAATTGAACACTTACTGGGTGCTAAGCATTTTACTTGTTTTATTTCATTTTGTAGATTCAGGTTGTAGCTCTGCGACTCGGACAGATTCTCTTGCCTATGTGGATGGCTGGTTTCTGTAAAATGGGAACCATAATAGAAACTATGTCATTGGATGGTTGTATTAAATTACAAGATCCATGGGAAGCACTTCACAGTGTGTGGCACATAGTAAACGCTCAATATTAGCATGTTAAGGTATTTATTTTCATAGGACATGTACCTTTCCTTATATCAGTTGTTTTTTCATTTATTTGTGTGATTATAGACTGCTCTCTCTCCCCTACTAGACTATATCCCCTATAAGGACAGAGTGTTGTCCTATTTTTAGTCACTCTTGTATCCTGAAATCCTAGTACAGCGCCTTAATAAATATGTGGGATGACTGAAATGTAATGCACCCTGTTGTGGTGAATGGGAAGGACTTCTTAGAGTAAGCAAAGTGTTAAGCTGGAGATCGAAGGATGAGCAATTGTCTGTTCAGGAATAGTGGAGGCAGAAACAAAGGTCTGGGGTCCTGGGCCTCCAAATTATGGGATCTGAGAGGTAAGCCTAATACAATTAGTACCTCTGAATTGTATTTTTACAAGTGAATATAGTCCATAAAAGGCTTTTTTTATTCTCATGTATTTGTTGGGGGGAGAAGGGCTATTGAGGACTCAGAGGTTAACTGGCTTGCCCAGTTAGTTAGATGAAAGGAGGGGGTCTCTATAATTTGTAGCTTCCCATCCTATCTACATTGCTATTATTTTAAGTTCATTTTCCCCATTATTCAACTAAAAGTCAATATTAAAAAATTGATAAGTAGAGAAATAAAGCAGTGGTGTCTTAACTCACACACCTTTCTGCCTTGCTCATGCTGATTTTCTGTCTTAAATTCTTTTTTCTGGTTCTTCACCTGCCTAAGTACTATATAGTTTTAATTGAAATGTAGATAGAATTCATCTAGTAACATTCCAGCCAGATCCCAACTCCTTTATTTATTATTTGGCTTTAAAGATTAGTTAATTTTTAACTACTCAGCTAATACATAAAAGGTCGTTGTAAAAACTTCAGATGGTACTAAAATTGATGGAATGAAAGGTTATGGTTCTTCATACCCTCCAATCCTTTTCCCTCTAAGATTATCATTGTTAATGGTCATTCATTCAACTGTTAATCGAGTAACAGTTCAAAATAGATCTTTCTAGACCTTTTGCTATATGTATGTTATCTATGGCTAGGTAGATGCATATGATTATAAGCATACTAGTATATACATGTATCCTTTTAATTTGATTTTGCTTAAAAATTGTTTTTTTACACTGTTGCTACTTCTGTTCTACAGCTTGCTCCTTTCATTTAACAAGTCAGGGAGATCTTTCCATGTCAGCACATTTGAATAGATCTACTTCATTCTTTTTAATGGCTGCATTATATTCCACAGTAAGAAAAGAATCATAATTTTAATTAATATTAAAATAAATTTATAATGTATTAAAAATTAAGTAGTGATGGACTGATAGGTTCTTTTCAGGTTTTGTTCATTTCAAACAACGCATACTGAACATACCTTCCCTACAAGTGGAATTGCTGGTTATCCACATGTAAAATTAGCAGGTATACTGTCAACTTATGCTCCAAGAAAGATTCAGTTTTTATTATTTATTTATTTATTTGTTTATTTTTAAAAGATTTTTATTGGAGAATTGGGGGAGGAGAACAGCGCTGGGGAATCGGGGAAGGGGAACAGACAAGTTGCTGTCCTTTTGTTCTTCAGTCTAGTTGTGGAGGACGTCGCTTCACTGGCCCGTGTTGGTATTATCATTGCGCTCTTCCCGGGTGAGGCAGATCGGTTGCCGGCCTCTGGACGGCTGCTCACAGCAGCTATTGACAGCTCACAGTAGCTTATGGCAGCCCACTGCAGCAGGAGCTACAGCCTATGCCGTTGACAGCGACTAACAACAGCCCAGCTCCAGGTCGAGCTGTTGTTCACCATCTTAGCTGTAGAGGGCAGTGTCACTGGCCTTCATGTGGGATCCGAACTGGGGTCCTGCTGCTCAGAGCTGGCATCCCAAGCCAGCTCTTAACCAGCGCGCCACTCGGCCATCCCAGTTTTTATTTTAAATCTCAATTAAACCAGTCTATTTGATAGCTGAGGTTGCACACTCTCTGTCTCTGGTGATACCTTATATGAATTTGGACACATAGTATGTCTGCCTACCTTACAAGGTTTTGGGAAGGATCAAACGAGATTATGTTTATGAAAAATAGGGTACCTGTCTTTGTATAATATATCCCAGTTTGCAAAGCATTATCTTACTTAACCTTTGCCACAAACAAGAGAGATGATTATTATTATCCCCATTTTACTGATACAGGGCTTAGGGAGGCTACAGCTTTGCCGTGATTACAAAACTGAGAAGGAAGGAATGGCGGATCCTTGGACTACAGATCCTGTGCTTTTTCCCCATATTAAGCCATTCCACTGACTAAATGAGAATGCTATACAAATGTCTAGTATTACTTTACTGTTTAAGATGGATAGGTATTTTTTCCTTCCTGATTTGAGATTTTGTGTTTGGAATAATTGTTAAAGCAGAGAGGTTGATAAGTGAATTCATGTTTGCAGCTATTTATCATTCTCCGTCTCTTTAAAATTGACCCATAACCTCCCTATCTCTCCTTTACCCAGGGCCCAGATATTACCCTGTCTAAACTGTACAAGTTAATTGAAGAATCTTGTCCTCAACTGGCAAATTCAGTACAGATCAGGTAAACTTCATTTTCTGTATATCTGAAAAGATGTCAAAGTAGATAAAAATTTTAAAAGGGCACGTGGTAATTCTTTAAAAAAGATATCTTTATTATTCTATGTTGTTTTCCTAAGTACTTTACATTTTTTTTGAATAATGGTTAACGTTAAACATACTGTTTCAAATTTTATTTTTCTATATGGGTTTACCTTGTTCTTTTTAGTTGTTGCTGAGCATTCCATCTTTACTTGCTGATGTGTTATTGTGACAAACTTTATGATCAAGAAAACATCAGCAATGATACTTTTCAGAATATGGGAGTGGCATTTTGGATTACCAAGTTTGTTTTACATGCCACCATTTTATATGAATCTCCGAATTGCTTTTAAAATAGACTTCTTTTGATAATCGTGGAATATGAAACGTGGAAAGACGTTCAAAGGGCCTTTCCAAAATACGCATCTCAATTTTCTCATTCAGGATCAAACTGATGGCTGAAGGCGAATTGAAGGATATGGAACAATTTTTTGATGACCTTTCAGATTCTTTTTCTGGAACTGAACCAGAGGTTCACAAAACAAGTGTAGTAGGTATGACACTCTCCTAAGGAGAGCGAGAATATTTTCATTGTAGTGAGCAACTTGCTAAATCACATCTATCATTACTCGGCTATACTGAAGAAACACAGTGGGGGCTTGGGCATGTTTTGGTTTGTTTACATTGCCTTGACATTTTGATGTATGTTTAAATAATTGTCTTATGGAAAAGCATCTTCTGTTTTGCCTATAATAGTGAAGGTATTAGCCTGGTCCTGGGGGTTTTTAGGGTTTCTCAGCTCTTTCTCACAATCCTCTGGGTTCCTTGACTCCGTTGTGCAACTCTAAGTCAAGGTCACCAACTAAACTTGTATGAAGAGAGGTAAGACTATGGTAGCGATACAGTTTATAAGGTGAGGGCATACATGAAACTTCTTGGTGCTGTTCTGTTAGCTTTACACCCATGCTCCATCCATCTGACTTTTTTTGCCTGGTCGTTTTTGTTATTCTACATCTGTTATTTATTGATCTCCTATATGCCAGGATGTGGACTTACAAGAGAGACACAGGCCTTGTTTTTATATAGACTACAGTCTGGTGGGTGGGGCCAGATGGTAAAAGTAAACAAATAAGATAATTTCAGATAGTTATAACAGCCATGAGAAACTATATTGGGTGGATAAAGATGGTGGAGAGCATGAGCCCTTAATAAGAAGAAACCAGATTTGTAAAGAACGGGGGAAGGACATTCTAGACGGAGGGAATAGCAACTGCAAGTGTCTATTTTTGATTCTTTTGAAGGAAGAATTGCAACAAATAGTCATCAAATTTGTGTAGCCTGATTTCTTTTAATGCCTTCACCTTGTCTGTGTCTTGCGTTGTAGGTTTATTTCTGCGTCACATGATCTTGGCCTACAGTAAGCTTTCTTTCAGTCAAGTGTTTAAACTGTACACTGCCCTTCAACAGTACTTCCAGAATGGTGAGAAAAAGACAGTGGAGGATGCTGATATGGAACTGACCAGCACAGAGGAGAGCGAGAGAAAAATGGAGAAGGAAGAACTTGATGTATCTATAAGGTAACTTGGTTTTTTCTGACAGGGGCCCTTTTCCTGCAAAATAGCATAATTGCAGGTGCAGTCAATCCCCATTCATTCAGCATTCATGTGCTGGCTGTCATCTTTTTGCCCCTCCAGATCCAGAAAGTTGGCCCATATGGGCTACATCAGTGGACTCCTGGCCCTCTGACTGGGAGGCACTGGTGGGAAATCCGGAGGGCCAAGGAGGGCCAAGGTCAGGGTGTTGACTCACTGGCTCCCTTCCTTCGGGGTCATGGTGGGCCAGTTTAAGGTCACAGCTCCGATCAGGTGGCCCTCCCTGCATCCCTCTGGGGTCTGGCAACTAGGACGATTTGGTGTGTAAAGTGCCCCATTGTTACCAGCCCCAGGGACTGTGTGCCCCTATTTTTGTAAGTTCTTCTTTGTAATCTCATATTACCCCATGTGAATATGCCATTTGTTTTCTGCTGGGATCCCGACTGGTAGTGTTCTTTACATCAGAGTAAATTAACAGTTGATGAATTCCGTGAAAACTTAACTGAGTGTCTACTAAAGTTTAAGTAAGCACAGGGAATGGGGTGCTACTGCTCACTTAGTTGTTCAAAACCTAGGGGTGGCCTGGGTTCCTCCCTCCTTCACCCCAACAGCCAGTACGTTAGCACATCCAGTCAGTCCTTCCTCCACAGTACGTTTGGAAGTGGTTCACTTCTCTCCGTCACCCCTGCTTCCCCTGTAATCTAAGCACCAAATCTCTTTTCTGGATAACTGGTCTTCTTGTCTCCACTCGTGCCTTCTGCAATCCACAGAGAGCATCCACGGGCACCTGTATCGATGTAAATCACACCATGGCCCTCTTCTACCCTAAACCCTCATTGACTGTCCTTGGAATTCAGACAGAAAGCCAAGCTTACCACATGCCTTCATGGTCTGGCCCCTGCCATCTTCCCTACCTCATTCTTCTCGTTCCCCCTTCACCTTCAGCAGTCTAGTACCCCGCTTGCTTTGTTTCATGACTACCCCACGCTGATTTCTGCCTTAGGTTGCCTGGCTTATCCCTGGCTTCTCACCTCGCTTGTTCCCGTTCACTATTCAGATCTCACTCCCATGTCCTCACAGAGGCCTCCCCTGACCATGTATCGAAGTAACCTCCATCCCAAATGTGTCCAGCTTCTTTATTTCCTTCCTAGCTCTCCTCACGAAGTAGCTTTCTACATTTATTTGCTTACTTGTTTATATCTGTTCCCTCCGCCTTTGCATCCCTTCAGAGCTAAGACCCCTTCTCTCTTGTTTCACTGCATTTCCCCCCATTACTTGGTACAGTGTCTGACTCAATGTGTCTGTAAATAAGTGTCGGATGGATGAACGCAGAAAATTAAAATATATAGTCTACCGCCCACACTGGTAACTTGCCCTGTAACACACTTTTTATTGATTTCCTTCCCTTCTTTGTCTCACTTCTTTCCCCAACTGTTACCTGGGATCACCTCCCAAACAAACTACATGTACTCGGAGGAAAAAACGTGTGTGTGTGTGTGTGTGTGTGTGTGTGTGTGTGTTTGTGTTTCATATTCCCTGATCTCAAGAGCTGACAGTGTGGTGAGGAAGATGGACACGTAAACAGCTCATTACAATGCAGTGTGTTCAAAGCTCTGATTTATGTAAGCCTCACCTGTTCCACGCAGGCTGGAGAAGCCCCTTGGAGGTGGGGGTGACTGTGTAGGCAGAGAATGCTTCCCTGCAGTTCCTGTGAGTGGTCTTTGTACAGTTATGTGATTTGTTCAGCACGTACTGGGAGCAAGACTATAGTACCATTAACTACTTCCCAAACCTCCCTCACTTAGTGTTGCTTAGCAACGCTTCTCACATCTTGCAGAGGCATACAGTGCAGGGCTAAGGGTCTGGCCCTGGAGTCAGAGCAGTGGGTTTGCATTCTGGCTCCTTCCCTTATTCCCTGCCAGACCTTGGGCCAGTCACTCACCCTCTCTGTGCTTCAGTTTCCTCTTCTGCAAAATGGGGGCGATGTCACCTCCTCAGAGGGTAGATGTGAGAATTAAATGCTACATCCATACAGAGTGTTTAGAATGGTGCCTAGTATGTTAGTAAACAGTCAACAAATATTCACTATTCTTCTCTGATTTCTCTTTTAGCTAAGTCCCCTAAGGAAAGCTTCCAGGTAACAGCGTGATCATTGTTCTAGCTATTTTATACGCTTAAAGTAGCAGAAAGTCACTTATTCAGAAATGTTAAAATTCACACTTTTCTAATTATGGTTTGGCTTTCTCCTAAATTAATCTGATTTAATTAGGCCTACCTGCATCTTTTTGTTTTTATCCTATTCAAAGAATTCATTTGTGTGTAATCCAGTGCATTTACTGTTAAGGTATACAGTTTCAGAAAATAGTATACATTTAGTAAACTGAATTTCATTACTGAAATCGGGTCGGCAAACTGCGGCTCACGAGCTACATGCGGCTCTTTGGGTACGTTCCGTATCAAAAGTTTGCCAACCCCTGGAAGAGCCAATCCTGTCCCTCACAACAATTTAAAAATTATTCGAGAGCCATGAATATATTTGTACATAATCACCATTGTGTGAATAATATCCTTTAAATTTTTTATAAATGAAACTACGATAGTTTCATTTTCATTTTCAATTTTACTTCAGAGCCTGGGGTTTGTGAACCGCAATTTGCTGACCCCTGGCAACCCCCTGGCAGCTCTTCCGTCTCAAAAGTTGCCGACCCCTGACTGAAATGAAAGAAATATATTATTTAAATGTTATTCTAATTAAATAGTATAATTCTTTGTCCCAAACGAAATAATTTTACTTGTTATGGGATATTGTTTATTTTATAAGATATACTTACATATATTTCTTGATGCTTTTAAAAAAGAAAATTATATGTTTTTCTTTTTTTTTTTTTTTAAGATTTTTATTGGGGAATTGAGGGGATGGGAACAGTGCTGGGGAATTGGGGAAGGGGAACAGACAAGTTGCTGTCGTTCTGTTCTTCAGTCTAGTTGTGGAGGATGTTGCTTCACTAGCCCAAGTTGGCACCATCGTTGCGCTCTTCCCGGGCGAGGCAGATCAGTCGCTGGCTTCTGGACGGCCGCTCACTGCGGCTGCTGGCCACTCACGCTGGCTGCTTGCTGCTCATGCTGGCTGCCTATGGCAACCCACTGCCACAGGGGCTGCAGCCTGCGCCATCGCCGGCAACTTTCAGCATCTTAGCTGTAGAGGGCAGCGTCACTGGCCCTCATATGTGGGATCCGAACCGGGGCCCTCTGGCGTCCCAAGCCAGCTCTTAACCATCGCGCCATTTGACCGGCCCTCATGTTTTTCTTTTTGCGATCTTTTCTAATGTTTTGTTGCATTATGAGAAGCTTCTCACTTTAGCCCCTTCTTCTATTGTTTTTTAAGTTTTGGAATGTTTTTAGATTTTTAGATTCCTTTTCTCCAGCGACATGATTTTTCTTGCCCTAGACATTTGTACTGAAATTAGAAAAGGAAAAGTGATGTTGACTAGCTTGCAAATCTCCCATCTTACAATGAAATTATTCCTATTTTAAAACGGAAACCCAGCTAATTTAAGGGAGAGGATATTCAGGCAACAAATGTTTTATCAGGTCTTTTAAAAAACCCAGTTGCAGAAGAAAGTGCCAACTGAAATTTAGCTTTAACCTTTCATTTGCTCATTGCTGCTCAGGGGAAGCTTTGTGTCCTGCAGTAAGAAGCCGGGCCTATAGGATTATACCACGTGAGCGTGAGTGGGGGCGGCTAGGCTGCAAGCTGCAGGAACTGCACCTTCTCGGTGCTTCTAAAAGGGCCCAAGGAAAGTAGAAATTCTCCAGTGTTTCTTCACTTGCTAGTGATTTCATATAAACCTCCCAATTCATGAAATGTATTCAACCAATACTTGCTGAGCACTTCCCGTGTGCCAGGTACTGTGTTAGGTGCTGTGCTGTCAGCGAAAAGGGGAGTGTCCTGTCCTCGTGGCGTTATGTGGAGAGGGTCAGGTAATAGAGAGGTAACTATATTAATAAGTAATGTAATTTCAGAGAGTGTCAGTGCAATAAAGAAATGAAATAGGACACAAGGACAGAGAATAACGAGAGGGGGTGCTGTTAGGGAAGGCCTCTTTAAGACTGGGAGCTGGGTGATGAAGCTAGCCAGCCCTGAGAAGAGTTGCCAGAGCCCAGGGGAGACACAAGCGTTCCCAAGACAGGACAGCCGGACATATTGGAGGGATGGGAGGGAGGACAGTGTTCTAAGTGCATAAGGCTGGGGAGGAAGGGCTGGATCACCCCCTCTGGTCACACCTCTTAGGCTCAGGTCCTGGTGGTCTCCTTGGATGTTTAGTAACTGTTCTGTCTCCGTTCCTCCCCTCCCCTGCTTTGTCCTGTCACTGCCCTGTTCAGAGAGCTCCGAAGATTCCACACGTTCTCCCAGCCTGCTGTTGAAGGCCTTCCACAGTTGACCTCTCTTACCTTCCGTTCTCAACTTGGGCCCTTTCCCCGACCAGCCAGGTCTGCTTGTAGCTCTCTTAACACGCCAGACCTTGTCCCATCCTGCCTCTTTCGTTTTCTTGTCCTGGAATTCCTTCTTCCGTCCTCATCATTCCCCCCTCCTTCCTGACGTTCAAGTCCCTCACCATTCCAGCTGAAGCCATCTCTCCCTTTCCTGAGTGCAGAGTTCATATTCATTCTTTTTTTTTTTTTTCTTTCATATTCATTCTTGGCATGTGTTGTTTACTGCCATCTTTCATATGACGGGTCTTAGCCTTCACCAAGACTGTAAGCCTGTTAAGACCTTGTGTTCCCCACCCCCCCCACCCCCCAGGACCCCAACTGGTGTTTTATGCATTGCAAGTACAAAACAAAACAAAACTTGGTTGATTGATCGAGCCTATGTTATATTTTTAATTTTTCATTGGAATGGTAGATTTAAGCTCTTTAGAGGAGTTTCCAGACTCGTTTTGAGAATCTGATGAATGCCATGTACTACCTCCACATTAGAAATGTACCTGCGTGCAGACTTTGCGTGTGGTTTTACAAGGTTCATGGACTCCTTAAAGCCCATCCATGGACCCAGGTTAAGTGGCCTTGATGTATAGCGCTAGTGTGTCTAAAATTCTGTCCAGCTGATAACTGGATTCATAAACAAGGTATTCTCAAGCCCTTTTCATAAATGGAATGTGTCTGTGGCTTCTTGAGAGTTACACTCTCCTGCGTGTACTTGTGAGGCCCCAAGGAAGCAAAGAACGAGTCAGTGAAGGATGGTTTGGGCTGTGATACTTTTATTAGCTCTTCCCAAGCTTGTTTATGTCGGCCACAGTCACCACCATGGAAACCAGCGCCAAAGTTGATCTTAATTTACAATAACTGTATTTGCCTTTATTTGTAGCAATTTTACATTGTTTGACTCTGGTTTTCTTTTTCTATTTTATTAACCTATTGTCCCTGTGCACTTTATTATAAGCTACCCCCAAATCTTTTTTCAGGACAGGGTTTAAGTAAATCAAGCATTTGGTAACACTGAGCATCATGGACTTTAGAGGTGGACGGGGCTAGTAGTGGTGTGTCCAGTTTCATTCAGACTCTCATCTGTCTCCAGCCTTTTTGTGGATAGCCATATTTATTTCAAGCCTTGGGATTATTTTCTTGAAGGGGAATCTTAAGAGAAAAGGGCTTGTTATTGCCCGGACACTTAACTGTTTTCCATTTGAGAACTTGGCCTGTGGATTTTTTTCCATTTCTCTCTGGGTCACTCTTGTGTCACTGATCTTTGTTAGGCCTGGGTCAGGGCTGGGTCTTGGCAGCTGCAATGATATACTGCCTTAGGGTTGTTAGGTGATATTTATTGGAAATGAAACCAAGAGAATATTAGAGCAGCTCTTCCCAATGTGCTTTCTATGGAGCACTAGTGCTTCTTGGGAGATGTGAGGCAAGGGTTCTTGGTACCAATGAGTTTGGTAAATGGTATCTTAAACAAAAGTAAATAAAGTTTCTTTCTGTTGGATTTCTCTAATGTACATCACTAATCTCAAAGCGAGATCGAGTATACAACTTTCCCCAAATTATTTAACCTCAGAAGCATTTTTTTTAGAATACCTGTTTACATATTGTTTGCATGAGACAGTTGGAGAACTGCTGCATTAGACACAGAGTGCTTATACAAGTATTACTTATGAGTAAATACTGATTTTTATACTTATCATAATCCTATATAGAGAAACCATTTCATCAGAGTCATGTGGTAAAAGGATAATATTGATACTTTGCCCCCAGAATAAGACTGTTTTATATTGTGCATGTACAGATTTGCCAAGTCTAGATTCATAGTAGTAGATGTCTTGCTCATTGGTTCTTTGTAATCTAAACTTCCAGGCAAATGGTTATTTCTTAGGTGAAGCCTCTTTTTTTCTGCTCTTGAATAGAATACCATGTTGAATCTGTAGCATGGAGTTAGAAACTTCATTCATTCATTTCCCAAACTCTTAGTGCCTGGGTGCCTGGGCATGGCACTGGGTATTCATGTACCAATGCAGATAAGAACTGACAAGCTCACCAGAGGGAACATAGGTTCTGTGATAACATCTCTAGGAGATAGTGGGAGCTCAAATGAGAGATTTCAGGAGCAGTTCTTGGAGGATATGACACTTGAGGTAATCTTGAATGATGGATTGTGTACAACAGTCTAACGGGGTGGGAAATGGGCCCTGCATTGAGGAAGCCGGGGGTGGGGTGAGGGTGGGGGCTTCTTGTCATGATCTGAGACCTGGAAGGAGCTCATCAGGGCTGGGGTACAGGTGAGGAAGAGGAGGCGAAGGAGAGAGGCGGGAGGGAGGGACTACTCAGGAAGCATTGCACCTGCCCTGCTGAGCATGTGGGCTTCATTCTGGAAGTGACAGGATCCCCTGAAGGGCTCTAAGTCAGGGATGGCACGATCGATTTGCATTTTAGAAAGATCATGCTGTGAGCTGTGTAGAATTTAGATCTATATGTGTCCATAATTACATTGTTTGAACTTTGACAGGTCATTCAACATCACTTTTTAAGTATGTCTTTTCTATTCCTGAAAAGAGAGAATTAGTTTAAAAAGTTTGTGGGGCCGGCAGAGTGGCCCAGTTGGTTAAGAGCTCACTAAAGAGTGCGAGCTTCTGAGCAACAGCGGTTCGAGTCCCGGCCTGAGCTGAGTTGCCAACAGATGGCAGGATGGCTCAGCTAATTAATAAATAAATAAATAAATAAATAAATAAATAAATAAATAAATAAATAACTAAAAAAAAAGTTTTGTGAATTCTCCTGGTAAAGAATCTATTTGACTTTTAAGCATTACCATTTTCACTATGGTGTAATTCTTTATATTATTTTTGTTTATTTTTTCTAGAGAAGAGGAGGTATCTTGTAGTGGACCACTGTCCCAAAAACAAGCAGAATTTTTTCTTTCTCAACAGGTATGTTAATCCTGTAATTTATCACGAACTTTTAAAAAAATTCTGTGACACTATGTTATATAGGCTTACGCCTGTTGTATTAGTAGGTTTATTGGCAAATCTGCATTAGCCTTTACTCTTGGTCCTCTTTCTTCACTAACAATGTAAATATCGCCATATGGCCCTGCCTATTTTGTGAGTGGTTTTATTTTTCTATTAAAGTTATAATGCAGGTTCATTTATCAGGTTGTTGGAAAAGTCTTGACGCATTTTTGCAATGAAAAACATAGAAAAAATACATCATGACTTTTCCGACAACCCAATAGTAATGGTGTGTGACTAACACAGCCCCAAAACGTACTTTAGAAGACTTATGTCCCTTTCTCCAACATTTCATTGTGGACATTCAAACAGAAAGAAAAATTGAAAAGCATTGTACAGTGAATACCCATGTACCCATCACCTACTTCCTACAATTCATATTTTGCTATTTATCACATATATCTACGTATCCTCTATCCAGACACCATTTTATTTTATTTTATTTCTTTTATGCGTTTCACGTTGTGGACATCAGTACACTTCAAATGCTTTGCTGGTGTTTTGGAGCCATACTTGTTCATTTCTCAGTAACAGAAGCTGAATATTTTTCTCCCATGTTATTTTCAAGCATAGGATTTTGATTTTTTTGTTCAACTTCCTCAGTTTTCCCTAATTTTGATCTTAATATTCTTTCTGCGGAAAATGTAATGTTTAGATCTAGATAAAAGTGATGGAAACATTCCTGCAGATGAAATTTCAAACAGATTAGAAAAACCCGTCTAGACAATTGGTTAACTATAGAGGAGAATTATAGCTGGATCTTCACGCCTCAGTATATTACAGGTGGATTAAAAGGACAAATGTAAATATTTAAAGCCGTAATTAAACTAGAAGGAACTATGTATTAACTTTTAACTGATCTCTGGGTGGGGAAAGACATTCTAAACATAAAAGCTGTGGCAGAAACACATAAGAGAGGAAGATCATTTGATTTTTCCAGCATCAAAATTAAAAATGTCTGCATGTTAGAACACGTTCTCACAAAATTGAAAGGCAAACAACAAAATGAAGAAAGTATGTGCAATAAATATGACAGTCAAAGAGTTAATACTTTTGCTTTAAAAATCATATTTTCAAAAACTATTTGATGATGAGACAAAGTTTGTAATAATATTAAATGAAAAGAGCAGGAAGTAAAATTATGTGTTCTAATTTTGTTAAAAATGTGGTTTGTATATATGTGTATACACATATATACATACATATATACACACACAGAAAAAAGATATACTGGAATAAGATACACTGAAGAATTAATAGTGTTATTTCTGGGTAGAGGGATTACAGATGATTTTTGTTTTCTTCTGTATGCTTTTCCATATTTTTAAAATCTTCTATAATGATATAATGAGTTAAAATGGACTTAGACATTATTATCCCTTATAAAGAAAAATTCATCTAGAATAGAATTGAAATAAAGTGTCTATAACCCAGTTAAGTACTAATGTGTAATTTGGAACTAGTTTTCTACATGTTTTATATAATTGCTGATACCATCCATTTGAAACAAATAACTAGGAGTAGGGCAACTGAGTGCCATAAAGTCCTTTGCAGCGCTGTGACACACACTGCCTGCCTTGAAGGGGCTTACAGCCTGTGGCTGGGGGGTCAGACTGGCGCTTTTAATATAGCATGGTAAATATGACAGGAAGGATTAGTGCGGGCTTATGGGAGCATGTAGGCATTGATAGGACCTTGCCTAGTCTAGAAGGTTAGAAGCAGGTTTATCTAAATTGAGGCCTGAAGGATCAGCAGGAGCTTGCATTGGAGGAGTGTGTGGATGGGGAGCGATGGTTGGAGGCTTACTGTTTCAGGAAGAGGGAACAGTTCTTTCTGGTCAAGAGGAGAGAGTCGCTGCAGAAAAGAAGAGTCAGGTGATGCTGTTTAATATAACGTTTCCACATGTTTACTGGCCGTTACTGTCTACTGAGTTGTCATGTTTAAATTTCAGGCTTCTTTGTTAAAGAATGATGAGACGAAAGCCCTCACTCCAGCTTCTTTGCAGAAAGAATTGAACAACTTGTTGAAATTTAATCCTGATTTTGCTGAAGCGGTGAGTCTTCTGGAATTTGTTGCTGAGTGGAAAAGAAATGACAAAGCTACTCTCCATATCTGGTAGCTGTGCAAAGGAGGATCTATACTGGCCCAGGTTCTGGGGAAGAAATCATGTTGAGGGCAAGTAAGCAGCCCAGCCTGGGTGGCAGCGGTGTCCCTCCCGCCCCGACCCCTGGCCCAGTAGAGATTGCTTCAATCTAGTGATGTTCTCTTTCATTCGTCATCTCTCTGATGTAGTGACTTATGGGCAGATAATAGAATAGACCGAGTTATTTAAAAATTGGGTTCCTAAAAGTTCTTTCCTTTCTCCACTTTTGTAAAACAGTGTGGTTTTTGTTTTGTTTTTAAGGTCAAATAACACCATCCCTTAATGGATTTTTACCTTGAAAACTTTCTTAATAGCACCTGGCTTTGACATGTGACTTTTTCCACATGTAGAAAGATACCTGTTTTTCTCCCTCGTAACTGGGATCTGTCTGTTTGGAGGGAATTTTAATTCAGTGAAATCAAACGAAGTGAAAACAGTTTCAAGATAGAAAATAATCCACTTAGTAGACTAGTAGAAGTATCACTGTGTTTTAACTTGGACACTTAGAAAAATTAATTGTATAGTTTTTACTATGAATTTAAGTTTTAAAATCTTGATTTTTGAACCCTCAATATTCTTTAATAGCTGAACTAGGTGAGTTGCCCCTCCACCCTCTCATATCACCTAATATAACCAGTGACATAGTGGATGTAGATTTAGGAGAAAATGCTGACTCAAATACGAATGGAACTCCTGTTTTTCATTTGAGGACTCCCTCTGGGAGGAAGCAAACCATTGTAGCTTGAACCTGTTTTCTCTTCCTGGGGGGGAAAAGTTCGTCTTGTTAGAATGGTAGGGGATACATGGGTGTCTGCAGCCAGTGGAACTCTAAATTCGTCTCACACAAGAGGAAGCAGTACATTTACAATAAGTGGATTGTCTCTTGTTTTAGCATTATCTCAGCTACTTAAACAACCTCCGGGTCCAAGATGTTTTCAGCTCAACACACAGCCTCCTGCATTATTTTGACCGCCTGATTCTTACTGGAGCCGAAAGCAAAAGTAACGGGGAAGAGGGCTATGGTCGGAGCTTGAGATATGCTGCTCTGAACCTGGCCGCCTTGCACTGCCGCTTTGGACACTAGTAAGTTTATCGAATTTTTATCCATGTAGAAATTGAAGACATTAACTCTCAAATGTTAATCGAGATGAACTTTTTTCTTTTTTTTTTTAAAAGATTTTTATTGGGGAATTGGGGGGAAGGGAACAGTGCTGGGGAATTGGGAGAAGGGGAACAGACAAGTTGCTGTCGTTTTGTTCTTCAGTCTAGTTGTGGAGGACATTGCTTCACTGGCCCAAGTTGGCACCATCATTGCGCTCTTCCGGGCGAGGCACATCAGTCGCCGGCTTTTGGATGGCCGCTCATTTCGGCTGTTGGCCGCTCACGCTGGCTGCTGGCTACACACGGTAGCCCATGGCAACCCACTGCAGCAGGGGGGGGGGCTGCAGCCCACACTGTCGTTGGCGACTCACGGCAGCCCAGCTCCAGGTTGAGCTGTTGTTCAGCATTTTAGCTGTAGAGGGCAGTGTCACTGGCCCTCATATGTGGGATCCGAACCGGGGTCCTCTGGCGTCCCAAGCCAGCTCTTAACCATCGCGCCACTTGGCCAGCCCATGAACTTTTTTCTTTAATGCTGTATTAAAAAGAAGAAGAAAAGAAAGGAAGGGAACTGACTGTTTGACCTGGACTTGTCAATAACTTCTGAAAGGGAAGCGTTTTCACTGGACAGAAGTTAATGAAAACCTTCTACTTAAACAGTCTGCCCCCTGGTGTCACTGTTTAGCATTACAGCCTTAAGACATGGTCTCTTTCATTCCTTCTAAGAACAGCCGTTGAATTAAAAGGAAATTAGGTCATTAGGCCAGAGAGTCCCAAAAGGATTTTTCGGAGGTAATAACGGGGATGCAAAAGCTATTTGCAGAATTTCAAAAAGCCAAAAGGAAGTTCTGTCTTTACTGGGTAAAAGATTGCACTGGCTTATTAAAAAGTCACATGTTTGCCAGGTCAAAAATTCTAAAATGGTTTCTTCTTTTTTTTAATTTAATTTAATTTTTTTTATTGTGAAATAAACATTTTTTAAAATTAGTTTCAGCTGTACAAAAAAAAATGTCACGTTTGTGCTTTCGGATGGAATTCAGGCAGCTCAGTCAGGTGGCACTTGGCTTATACCATTGCTAAGATGTGCCTATGATTTTAATGAATAAAAATAGAAAAACTGATCAATTATTTAGGAAATAGGGTTAAGTGGCGAAAAACTTTCAAAATATGGAGGCTATTTTGTAAACAATGAAATAAGGTGAATAATGGTGAAAAGGTAGAAAATGACTCATTCAAAGAGTCTCTCTACCCTGTGTGGCTTTTTCCTATTTGACAGAAACGTGGTTTCTGCTACAGACATCTTTGAATCAAGACTCTAGGGTGTATTAATGGAAAGGGAGTGTCCAAAGTTCAAGAATTGAGAGTTCTGCCCCTTGCTGTATGGGCCAGACGACACCCAGGAAATTCCATTAACTTTTGGTTGTCACATTTTAAAAGGGACATAGATGAGCTGGAGCTTGTGTGGGGGATAGTCTCATTGGAGGCATTCAAAGCCATGTCATATAAATTACATAGAAAGGCTGTGAGAATGCTGAACCTGAAGAAAAATGATTTGGCTGAGCGTGTGTTTGACATCTTCACGTAATGAAAGGTCGTGTGGAAAGGGCTTATACTGGTCGTGGTTGTGCCGACTAGAGATGAGTGAGAGCTGCTAAGTGCATGTTGCAGTGCAAAATATTTCCCCTCATTGAGAGAAAGACGTTTCCCCTGCAGGATCCTCTGAGAAAGATGCCAGTGGAGTTCTAAAGCCTAGAACAGGGATGCCATTAAGACAATTGAAGCATCAGCTTGATAGTTGTACCCAGTAATATTTAAGGCTACTCCAAACTCCATGATTTTGTGAGATTCCATATTATCTTTTTTTTTTTTTTTTAACGATTTTTATTGGGGAATTGGAGGGATGGGAACAGTGCTGGGGAATTGGGGGAAGGGGAACAGACAAG